GCGGCTTGGCGCCCGGCCGGCCGCGCCGGCGCCACAGTTCAAACCGGGCGTCGACGTCGGCCGGCCGGCCGGCGCGCCTCCGTTTCGCGTTCGCTGGGCCTGGGACTGCCCGCGCAGGCCCATGTCGTCCCCTATCTCCGCGTGTGTCCACTAACACGAATGACGTCACGCATGTGGGCGGAGCTATGGGCGGAGCCTAACGCACGCGGCAGTCCAAGCCGCCATATTTGAATTTATATTTAAATAGAATCTTGCCGATATTTTGGGTGAAGTCAATTTATATGGATAGCTTGATGACAGTTTAGCTATACGAATAATAATTTATTATGGATGTGCGTATATTCAGCTTGGAATTGCAATTAAAGTTCCGCACCGCATAGATTCGAACTCGGGACCTTTGGAATACTGCGCGGGCACGCTAACCACTACACTACCGGGACCGCGCGGCGGCCGGCGGCAGGGAGGCTGCGGAGACATGGGGGACATTTTACGCTTTTGTGAAAAAAGCAAAAGATTTAGCGAAAAACACGTAATAGATAACTTGCAGAAAATTGTCTGCTCTTTCAGATAAGATACTTAGGTTTGATATATCTTGCGCAGACTTCATTCTACAGTGCTTCGAAAATCGCTCATTTACATGGGGATTGAACGGGGCTTCGAGACTTGACTCCAAATGACGTCACGAGCTGACGTCACGAAAAGGTAGAATCGCCGGACGACCCTACCTGGTATATAGGGCCTTGTGCCCGCGGTCGACCGGGACCCAGTCCTGCTGTAAAAGAGGAAGCTGAGCAGAATCACGCGGCTGGTGAGTGACTTTTCTTGTGCCTCTGTATGCGATATTCGTTTTACGACTGCAAATACTGAAAATAGTTATTTGAATAAATTTGGTTGCATTTGGCATCCTTGTAAGTACCTTACTGAGTTTAACAGAGGTGAGAAAGAGGCTTAAAATTAGCGATCACAATTTATTTTGCAAGCAGAAAATTGTCAGTGCCATATTTGTTGTGTTCAGGCTGCCTAAATGACAATGCAAGTTGCATGAGCTTAAAGTTATTATATTGTGATATTTGACAAATGACCCTGTGTGGTAATTAATTTGATCCCATCGCCCAATTAACCCGTGCTGTCCTGTACTGTTGCAGGCACGAACTTGCACCAGACAGACGCCGTCTACCGGTTCTACACGGGTCCAGATGGGCTGCATGCCTGCATTATAGCTACGTTCTGACTTCTGAAAATTCTGATCGCCACGGAAGATTAAGAAATCTGTCAGAACAACAGACAGTATCACCGATCGGAATGATATTGTATCACGTCGTTCATTGTGCCTATGTGGAATAGCGTACGTATGGCCCAGTGTATAACTACATTGTAATTCTGTTCTTGATTCTGATAGCAGTCGCCTCATCGATGTGGTGTTGACCAAACAACAATGTCCATGTGTAGTTAATGTCTAATGTTGGTAGGTACGTACTGATGAAAATGTATATATAAGCTTGCAGAGTAAAACAATAAAAATAATTCACGGTGCAGTTTTTTATTTTGTGGATGAAATGCATGGACTTCAAAAGGATCTTCAAATGGTAATCCAGCTGCCCAGTAAAAAATACCATTAGAAATTCCCAAATGGTTCCAAATGGGAAAAACCATTTGACTTATTGAACACTTTTCCAAATGGTTCCAAAGAGGTTCCATTTGAAATGTGTCCAATTGGCCACCAATTGGTACCAATTGGAACCATTTCATGACCATTTGAAATGTGTCCAATTGGTACCAATTGGTGACCAATTGGATACATTTCAAATGGTCATGAAATGGTTCCAATTGGTACCAATTGGTGGCCAATTGGACACATTTCAAATGGAACCTCTTTGGAACCATTTGGAAAAGTGTTCAATAAGTCAAATGGTTTTTCCCATTTGGAACCATTTGGTAATTTCTAATGGTATTTTTTACTGGGTATCTGTTTCATCTGTTTTGACTTAAATATATGGCTATGGACTTTGGCCTACCTTGGGAAGTGTCTCTGATTTCAACAAAACATTGTTCATCAGGGTACGCTGCAGGGTACATAGTACATACGTAGTGAAAATTTTTAGCATGTATGGGTGCGCATGTGGAGATGTAGACTGCGAATGAGACGGACCACGACGGTTTTTGAACCAATTAAATCTGATTGACAACATAATGTAGGACTAAAAACTGACTGTCAGAAGAATATTCACAGAATATTCACTTCACCCGGTACAACGAAAAGGGAAAGTCAGGGAACAGAGGCAGGGTACATCTCGAAGATCAAATTGCATGTGCCGATTGGTTATGGATCATCGCAGCTCAAGGTACTGCCTTGTGCTGCTTTATTGTTAACTGAAATTGCTTCCACCTTGTATTGAAAGAAGTCATTATGGAAGATTTTAAAAAGGTTCTTGAAAAATGTTTAATACTTTGAATTTATATTTTGCAGAATTATACACCCGTATCATTCTTTACATGTCAACATTTGTATATTATTTAGCATATAAGAAAATAGTGGCCTCAAGTTTCTAGGAAATATCTGATTTTGCTCTCTGGGCCACTGCAGATCCCTAAAAAGTTATGAGCCGTCTTCATTATTTAATGCATAAAACCAAATAAATTATCACTGCTCAAAAGTGGAAGAAATGACAAATAAAAAAATGTTTTCCTACAGCGCTGCAATCCAGATTTTAAGATAGTGATGGGCGCACTAGAAAGCAAGTAAAAGGTATTGTAAAAGTACTCCACAAGGTAAAAGTAAGGAACAAGAATATCCTTATACTGTTTCAGAATTTGGTGACTAACATTTTTTATGTGTTTTAAATACCCGAACATATCGATTCCAGAATCAGTCTAGATGATATTATATGGTTTTTGTATGGTGTTGGTGGTACTTGAATGACCAAAGTCAGTACATGTCCATCACCTTTCGATATTTCCGTGGTGCTCGCTCCCATTTCATAGCTGCTCACGGTGTTTTCTGCTGACGTCATATGGTGCTGCTCCACTAGCGCCACCATACGGCGTCAGCTGGCGAATTATCCAGTTAATACCAGAGCCCGCGTTTACGAGCGACTAACGCTTTTTTTAGGGGACGTTTTTGGGACGCCGGTGAAAACAGGGCGCCGGAGGGCAAAATAGTCACGTGACATTTCGAACTTCTCCCCCTCCGTGGGCCTTTTACATGCTTCTACTTACTAAATATCACGTGTGAATTTCACGAACCTTGATCAAATCGCCCCAGGCGCCCTGTTTTCACCGTCGTCCCGTTTTTGCACTGTAAAGTGGTCTACCTGTGCAAAAAAAACTATTTTCTGTGAAAGTATGGAGCACATGAATGCTGCAAGTAAAGAGAAGAAGACATGTTTTGTTCCAGAATGCCGAAATTCGACGGTCAAAACACCTGAAAAAGTATTCTTTTGTGTGCCCTCAAAACTTCAAACACGTAGGGCCTGGGCCAAGGCTGCACGAAGGGTAGATGCTGCAAGTCTGGTTTCAAGGCATATGTGGTACTGTTGTGAAGACCATTTCACAGTAAGTGGCAAGCATCATCGGTTAATGTCATTGATGTAGTCCATTTGTACCTATTGATTGCTGTTTCATTGTGGAAGTCGAACCACGGTCCCACAGCAGTTGGGCAAACTACGGGGAGGTAATCACGAACTTGATTAATCAAGTTCATGATTACTTTATGCCCATATTTGGGCATGTTTGCAGACCGTCACGAAAACGGCCGAATCTCGATTCAGGAATAACAGAGACGCACAAAAATTGTAAGACCGATAGAGAAGAAGTTACTCTACCCAAGGAATGTTCGAATGACCTAAGTTGTACATCGTGAGGTGGTAGATTGCAACCAAAAGATAATCAACAACTTGATTACGTGGCGTCGGCCCGGGAGCCCGATAATCAACATCTTGATTATTCAGTCAGCTGGCTAATCATGAAGTTGATTTCGCATTCAGCTGGCTAATCACGATTTTGATTGCGCTGGTACGGCTGCTGCCGAGAAACGAACAGTGCAGCTAATTACAAAAACACAACGATAATGTTGTATATTATTGACAAAAATAATAAGTTCGTGAATACGAGTGGCCAACTGTTTTGGTTATAGCGACATCAGTGAAATGCATTCACTTTGGAGTTACGATTAAGTTATTGAAGCTTCAACGCTAAGCAGGTGCACGTTTTGCCATCTACCTTCCTTTTGGGATGTGATTACCCCGGACCGGGCGGACCGGGTATGTTGGACGTTTTGACCCCCGCACGCACACGTTTTTTCTCAACCGTTTTGGCAAAGCTAGACCAATTGATCTATTGATACGAAGCATTCCGCTTTTGAGAATAATATGGTCAAAACGATTAGGTACATCAGATTATTTTGATCATGACCGGATATCAGGTCATCTCATAGATTTACCTGCAACGTCAATGACTGTACAACGGCAGGCCTCAACTATCGCCACGGCACTCCACTCACCTGACTCGAATTCCGATTACTCGACACGGCATCATAGGCGGCGGAATGGGGAGGGCACCGTGCCCCCCTTTGATTTTGATATTTTAACATTAGCCCTATGGGCGTTGCATGGAAAGAATGGGACCAAAAGTCGGCAGTGCCCCCCCCCCCTTAATTGAAGGTGTTCCGCCGCTACTGCACGGCATGACATTTCTCTGGTATCGCAGGTAAAGCCACAGGCGAAGCTTCACCTACGCGGACATTAGTACCGCCGCAGTACAGTGGAAATGAGCCGAGCACACCACGGCAGTCGTCAGATAGCGTGCCTGGCTCTGGCATAGCACGGCGGGACGCACGTGCGGGGAACAGTGTAATGAGTAGAGATTTCGGCTTATTAGATACTGTTCCGCATGGGGTCATTCTTGTGTTGGCAATTTACAAGACGTCTATCGTAAGATATTTAATAATTCTGTCACAAACGCGCACGGAGCGTGAAAGTGTTCTCACAAATACAAGGACTTAC